AGGGGGACAGCTTGAGGCTCCGGTCTCAAAAAAAAAAAAAAAAAAACAAAAAAAACAGAGACATCAATACATATATGAGTGTAGAACACTCTGGCAGGATAATGAAGCTGGCAATGGTAGCTGCATCTAAGAAGGGAAACCGCTGACTCTACTTTATATTCTTTTTGAATCTTGTACCATGTACTTACATTGTTTATTAAAAATTAATGGGCAGAGCCTGTGGCTCAGTGGGTAGGGCACCAGCAGGTTCAAACCTGGCCCCGGCCAAACTGTCACCAACAAGCAAATAACCCTAGATGAATTCTTGGGAGACTTGTGGCTCAGTTTCCTTTTTTACAAAATTATGGCGTGAAACGGAGGTTGCTATGAGCTGTGATGCCATGGCACTTTACTGAGGATGATAAAGTGAGACTCCTTCTCTAAAAAAAAAATAAATAAATAAATAAATAAATAAATCATTTGGGTGGCGCCTGGTGGCTCAAGGAGTAGGGTGCTGGTCCCATATACCAGAGGTAGCAGGTCCAAACCTGGCCCCAGCCAAAGGAACTACAAAAAAAAAAAAAAAAAAAAATTAGGGCATGGAACTAGAACATTCCAAGTGTATGCCCTAAAGATCTAAATACTAGTCTGAATATTTCATTCATACCAGGGCTTGAGTAGATGTTAGGTTCTAGGGCCTTTTCTTGTGTCTTGCCTTTGTAAACAGAAGGAAAAAACATTCAATGATTTAATCAGATGTGTAAATAATTTTAGGGTTAAAAAATACTCCTTAAGACTTATTTAGCTAATGGATCAGTTTGCAGAAACAATTATATTCCAACATGAAGGCTGACATTTTAATGAAACAATCATGACCAAGCGACATTTAAAAGCACCAGAATCACAGCTTCATGACTTGGGCCTCATATGCCATCAGCCTACCTTCTTCATTTAAAGATAAAAAAAACTGTGTTTGTCTATCATCACATAAACTATCACAAGAAGCCATTTTTAAATTCCAAGGTCAGTACTCTTTCTACCTAAACATGTTAGCTTATTTCCATGAGAAAATTAAACTAGCAACCCACTCTATGATTCAGTTTATACTTCTGATGCACATATTAAATTATAAACAAACAGAAAATAAACTATTACAAACAAAATCTTAAAACATCATCACAAGCTCACTTACAGCACTCAACAGGTATAGAAGCTATCTGTAGAGAAAGGACTTTTCCATTGGGTTGTGGGATGTGTACACGAAACACAAGTCGTACTCTAGTATTCTTTCTGCCAATATCGGTTTCTCCTTTTCGAAGTTCTATATCTGAATTGCGGAGCTTCAAAATACCAGCACAGTCAATACTAAAGAGAAAAATATAAAAATTTAATTTGCTTATTAATGATCATACCTCTAAACAAATACATAGATATGCATGTTTTGTTAATTTGTCAGGGGAAAAACTATCCAAAATCATATCAAAGAAGAAAGGTATGCATAATTGTTATTCTCTGCTATCTCAATTTAGGGATTAAAAATATTTTTGAAGGACAGAAGTGCAATAGTTAAGTATAGTAGATTGTAAAGTGGCTATCAATAATGCTTCCCTATTGGGCAGTGCCTGTGGCTCAAGGAGTAGGGCACGGGCCCCATATACCAGAGGTGGTGAGTTCAAACCTGCCCCAGCCAAAACTAGAGAAAAAAAAAAAGCTTCCCTATTGTTGTACTTGTATGTTTCTCCTCTTGCCATTAAGAGATGGAGTACCCCCTCAATGAATCCCCAACAATAAAAAGGAGATGGAGTATCTATGTCTCTTCTCTTTTAGAGCTGACCTATGACTTGCTTTGAAAATAGAGCATGTGGTCATGTGACAGTATGCAAATGATGAGCCTAGTACTGAAGAAGATTGGTAATTTCCACATTTGCTCTTGTAGCATAATGGAAAGAAAGACCTAGACAATATTTCTAAACAATCCAGCCACCCTAGACATCTTGGATGTTCAAACCCAGATGAGCTCCCACTGAATCTATCCAGGTACATAAGTTGACCTCAGCTGACACCATTGAAATAAATGAGGTGAACTCAGTCAACCCAAGGAATCACAAAAAATACAGTTATTTAGGCCAGTTAATTCTGGGGTGCCAGAACCATAAACATAAAGAAAAAGATTTTTAATTCTGTAACGAAGTCAGAAAAGATTCACTTACAAGACTGTAATAAAGTTATCAATAACATATTTAGACTTCTTTTTTGAGACAGAGCCCCAAGCTGTCGCCCTGGGTAGAGTGCCATGGCATCATAGCTCATAGCAATCTCCAACTCTTGGGCTTAAGCAATTTTTGCCTCTGCCTCCCACGCAGCTGTGACCACAGGTGCCCGCCAAAATGCCTGGCTATTTTTTGGTTGCAGCCTTCATTATTGTTTGGCGGGCCTGGGCTGGATTTGAACCCGCCAGCTCAGGTGTATGTGGCTGGCATCTTAGCTACTTGAGCCACAGGCACCAAGCCTAGACTTTCATAATGAAGTGTTTATTAATAAAAAATGATCCTCATGCCTGTAATCCTAGCACTCTGGGAGGCTGAGGTGGGTGGATGGCTTGAGCTCATGAGTTCAAGACCAGCCTGAGCAAGAGTGAGACACCTCATCTCTAAAAAATAGCCAGACATTAGGCAGGCACCTATAGTCCCCAGCTACTTCGGAGGCTAAAGCAAGTGAATCAGTTAAGCCCAGGAGTTTGAGGTTGCTGTGAGCTACGATGCCAGAGCGCTCTACCTAGGGCAAAAAGTGAAACTTTGTCTCAAAGAAAAAAATAAATAAATAAATAATGATCTATCAGACTAAGCTCCTTGCATTCTTAAGTAATGTACATAAATGACTAAACTTTTCCATATAAGTCTAACATTTCACCATCTTCAAAAACAGCAACTATAAAGTATCTTTGTTATTTATATATTGGACAATAAAGCAAGTGGATAATTAATTATGATCAAACCTTCTAGTATGTTACAAGTTTACTCCCTCTGAAGCATTTATTAGATTGTGTACTTTATCGGTAGTTTTAACTCCAATGTTTACTGTATAGAGACTATAGAAGTTGCTTTGAAGAACATACTCTAGAACTAGCTCATCAAAACAAGAACAAGTAAAGCACAAGAAAGTATCCCAAAAGGAATTTTTTTATTTTTTGAGACAGAGCCTCAAGCTGTCCCCCTGGGTAGAGTGCTGTGAAATCGCAGCTCACAGCAACCTCCAACTCCTGGGCTCAAGCGAGTCTTCTGCCTCCTCCTCCCCAGTAGCTGGGACCACAGGCACC